GCGGTGAGCCCAGCGTCCTCCTACGCCGCCATCTTCCTTCCTCTTCCCAGACTTGATTTTCACATAGCTTATCTCAGCATAATCAGCCACTGACCATGGTTCATAGTGTTTGGAGGTTTCCTTTAGTATTTCCATAATACACTACTTCCTCCTCTTCAGATCTGTGTTTTTCACATTTGTTACTTTTCTTTTGTCCAGTGATACTACAGTAGTACCGTTTTCTACTTTTTTTCAGTACATAATTTTTCAATGCATATTGCAGCTACATTTTAGCCTAGCTAAGCTAGGATGTAGATATCCATATTATATAAATTAGAAATTTATTTCTAAGCTTATTCAACTCCAGGATATTTGCTCATTTAGTAACTTAGTAGTATACGTCCCTTGATGGATATCAATCATTTTGTCATTGACCATTAGTTTACTAAAATCTTTCTCCATGTTGTTGATGTATATTGTGAAAAGAATAGTTTATTTTTGACTTATTATCCTTCTAAACCTTTTTACTCTCTGGTTTTAATATATATGCAGTGATGCCAGTGCTTACTAGGAATTGTTTCTTTACGCATCTCAGTCTTATCCTTTAGTGTCCCAAAGTTTTTGAGGCATTTCTAAGGGATAAAGGATTTCCTATGTTTATCTGTTCACCATGTGAGCTGTTCTAGTGACAAATGAATTCTGGGCAGTGAATCGAGAAGGACACAGATGTCAAAGCCATGAATTTATAAATGGTCTGGTAAGAAGGTGCTTTGTCCAATCAGCACTTTGTTAATTTCACCTACAAGAAGGAGTAATTATTCAATTATGCTTCTATCTGACAAAAATCAAATGACAAATGGGTCAGGATGTGAAGGTAAAGGGTTAGTCAGGATTCTGGCAGGTGGCCCAAAATTTTAGACAGCTGTGAGGAGGTGGATATGGAACTAGATTGACCTATAACATTGATTACAGGTCCTTTATGAATATTCATAGCTCTTACTAACAAAGATTAAAAATAATTTCATTTCCAAATGCTAACAAATACAAAAAACATTTTTTCTGTACCTTTGTGAAATATAATTAGCTTGAAAAATATACCTCAATACTAGAAAAAGTAAAATCATATTTCTCTTTACTTCTTCTTAGTACCAAAATATTTTTTAAACATTTGCAAGTTTATTGGGGTAAATTCCAGTTCTTCCTTATGAAAAAGTTATCCTTACTTCTGAGTAGTATTGCTAGTATATCCTATTGCTTGATACAGAGCCTGAGGTCAGCAAACTTTTCTACAAAAGGCCAGATAATATATTTGCAGCTTCGTAAGCCATACAGTCACTGTCTCAACTACTCAACTTTGCTACTAGAACACAGTGTAGCCATAGACCATAGGGAAATAAATGAGGGTGGCACTATTCCACTAAACTGTTTACAAAAACAGCCAGGGGGTTGAATTTGACCCATGAGCCACAATTTGCCAGCCTTGATATAGAGACTTAAGATATTTTAAATTTTTTCACTAAGATTTTAATAATACCTGAAATAGAAGAACTCTGTGGGCTGTAGTGATTTGAATGTCTGTGCACTGCACGACTCCAAAGGCTATTCAGTTTCCCATAGACTATAGTGTGAATGACACTCCCTGAAGGTTTACAATATGGTGGCCCTGATAATGACCTCCCTCATCCATTTCTCCCACGTCTATATCAGTGGTATCCATATCTGGCCTGCTGCCTGTTTTTGTAGATAAAGTTTTATTGGAACATAGCCAAGCTCGTTTATTTACATATTATCTGGGGCTGCTTTCACAGTATAGCAGCAGAGATGAATAGTTTCAACAAAGACCATATGGCCCACAGAACCTGAAATAGTTACTTTATAGAAAATGTTTGCTGATCCCTGATCTGTGCCCTTATTATATTCCTATTTAAGTATAAAATTACAGGGCAAAATGTGGGAAACTTGTATGATTGTCATATTAAGTCCACCAAAGGATATCTAAAGAAGTTGCCAAATATCTAAAGTTGCTGTAAAATTTGAACTCTTCATTGTTTCTCATATAAGGACCTGGTTTGAGAAAGTAAACATACTTCCACGTAGCTGATAGTCTTACTGGTTCAGCATATTCAACAAAAAGTCAGATTCTTTGAAGAATTTGTATTATCAGGAATTTAAACCCAGTCAAGAGGCTCACCATGTCTGTGAAGGAGGAGAGTAGAAGTAACTCACCTTACATGGCAGTCAGCTGGAGCCCAGTCAGCTGTCACATCTAACTCCCATGCCCCCTTGCGGATGACTTGAGAAACTTCGCAGTGACATAGCACCAAGTATTTTGTCTGGATGTCTCACGTCAGGCTTGAAAGGAGCAGTTGCTTTGATGCCAACAGCTCTTATCATGGGCTTTATTTGGAAGATAATTTAATGCTGCTGTCATTGAATAATAAATTCCTAAGTCTGTGGATAGAAACAAAATTTAGGGGGAGGGAAGGGTTATTTCTCTGCTGTTTAAATCCGAAGGCTGGTTAATAATCATGAAATTATTTTTGTGCATTTCTTTGGTACATACGTACTTGCTTTCAGTTTATTGATATAAGAAAATTTGATTTATATTTTAATTCATGAATCCCCTGAATCTTACTTGAAGGACAAAGTTAACTTTGTTATTTACTTATCAGAGAAAAAAATCAAATCAATATTATTTTTTAAATTTGGTGTTATACAGACTTTTTAACTCTTGGAATAGAGTTTCTTCCTGAATTACTCTCTTCCCTCCCTTCTCTTAACACTTACTCTCTTGGTTTTCTTCCTACTTCAGTGGCCCCAGCTTCTCAGCTGTTTATTACCAGTCTCCTTTTCTTCTATACGTACCTTAAATTCTGGTATGTATTATGTACTCTCCCTAGATGACCTCATGAGCTCGCATAACTTACACTTCGCTTTATATGATGATGGTCCCAAATTTATATCTTGAACCCAGATCATCTCTTGAATTTCAGGCCCATCTTTTCAATTGCTTATTGGATACTTTTACCCATTTGTCCCATAGCATTGGACTTTCATATTCCTCTTGAATCTGACCTTATTTATTCACTAATGTAATGGTTACTACTACAATCTGCCCAGCTGCTAAAACTAAAAACCTGTGAGCTCTTCCTCCTAGATATCCCTTGAATATGCAGTTGATCCCTTGAACAGTGTTGGAGTGCGGGGCATTAACTGCCCCACCCACCCCCTGTGTAGTCAAAAATCTGTGTAACTTTTGACTCCCCCAGAACTTAACTACTCATAGCCTACTGTTGATGGAAGCCTTGCCAATAATATAGTCGATTAACATGTGTTTTGTGTGATATGTGTATTATATACTGTATTCTTACAATAAAATAAGCTAGAGAAAAGAAAATGTTATTAATAAAATCATAAGAAAGAGAAAACACACTTACACTACAATACTGTATTTATCAAAAAAACCCATGTGGAAGTGGATCCGCGCAGTTCAAACCCTTGTTGTTCAAGGGTCAGCTGTATATATCTACCCCTTTCCATTCCCACAGTTGTCACTCTACTTCAGATCGCCTGGGCTATTACAACTATCTCTTATTCTGTCTCTGTCTTAATCTTGCACCTCCATTCATTCCCCACATTATATTCCATCTGGCTTTTCCAAAACCAACATCTGCTCAAGTTGCTACCCTATGTAAAATTTTTCACAGGCTTGTTATTATTCTTAGGATAAAATCCATTTTACTAACATGGTTTATCCAGCTATGTTTTCTTTGCTCCCTTATTATCTTCGTAGCCTTATATCTCTTTCTCTTAAACTAGAGCATATATTAATTGTGACCCTATTTGCACACTGCTTGCTCTACCTAGAACACTGCTTCCCACCCCCACTCCTAACTTATGTGGTTTTCAGTTCTTATTTTACATAATATCCCTGCACCCCTGCGATAGCCAAATATGAATTAACTATTTTTGCTGTGAGCTTCCCCGTACCTTATACTTCCCCTTTCTTAGTATTTATTACATCATGAATAATTGTCCATTTATTTATCAAAATTGTCTAAATATAAGTTTCTTGATAGTAGGGACATGGACATGGATCCACAGTCTATAAATTAGAATAACTTATCTGGCACATTCTTGATGCTCATAAATACTTCCTTTTTTAATAAATAAGAGAGGTTAATATAAACTGGTCTTCTGTACAACTGTAAAATTCCATCATAATGTTTTTTACATGTCCCATATATTTTTAAATGCTGTCTCTTTCTGTATGTTTCAGAGTAATGTATAAAGATTTAGTATCTTTTTAAAGTCAGCATATTGTAAGTTTAATGTTAATAAATTTGTTCTTTTCATGTTTATTTAATTCTGCCATCTTGTTTTAACTATTGTAATAGGAACCTTATTTTAATTTTGCCATTGCCATAACAGAATTTTTTTTTTTAGAGATTACAAGATGGAACTTGGTTGTTTTCCCTGATCTACACCTATGTTAATACCCCACCGCTAGTAATCAATTGCTAATAATTCATACTGATGATTTTGGTGTTTATACTTAGCCTTTTAAAGTATATCTTGCCATAAAGGGAGATAATGGTAAATTGTTGGGTATTTTATCTGTTACAGTGTACCCTGATATTTGCACTATTAGCCTTGTGGCAGTAAGTGATATGAATAAACATGCTGATAGAATTGCTTTCTGGGATAATGTTTATGGCTTCAACATGTCCTGTATGAAGAAAGCAGTTATTCCAGAAGCTGTTGTGGAAGTTTTAGATCCAATGACTATTATTTCCGATGCTTGTAGTATTAAGGTAGGTGTTTTTACCAATTTTATTTTAACAGACTTGCCGTTTTTATTAGTTTTCATTTATGAGTTCGGTATTCGAAATTAATATATTGATATTATGTTTGGACCTTCAAAACTATGATTATTCTTCCTATATTAATCAGTCTAATGTACCTTGAGGTTATAATATTTACGAGTTGATTATATCAGCCTTTGGGATCACTTCTGTTTGTATTGAAATTCCTTATACTGAGGGGCTTACAGACAAAAAGTCATTTCTGCTTCATTACCACCTCCCTGGCCTTATTCTGGTTTCTCATTTACAGCCAGATTATTCATTCATATCATATATTCTATACAGCTTAACTTCCCACATTCACGTTTCTTCCACTTTTTCAGATTAAGTAATAACAGTGAATTTGCCTATGAAACTAAAGTCCAACTGTCTTCAGATTTCTCGGTTAATTCCTTTTCTGTTTTAAAATCTTATTATTCACAGTGTCAGTCTCTAGTTTTATTGTGAATTTTGCTGTGTCAAATTTACATGGGTTAAACAGTAAATTTTCAGTGAAAAGTCATATTGCTTCAATTAGATATAAATGAATATAGTTCAGTTTTAGGTTCAGAACATCGTCTGCTTTTCATAGTCACACTGTTACTTTCATAGCATCAATAATTGTACTCTGCGTAAAATGGATATTCAGTAAATATTTGTTAATTTTCTTAATAGGTAAAATATTTAAAGTTGGCAGAGAGTAATAACCATGTAAAGTTTCTCAACAAGAGCAAGCTGATTAAAATTGCTTTCAGCTTTTAAGAAAAAAAACTATAGCCTGGCTAATGATTATAGGATTGTTCAATGCTGTGGTACGCTGATAGTAAGAGATGTATTTTTTGGTTCAGGGTAGGAGTGTACAGTTATAGCCAACTCAGCCTCAAGGCTAAGCAAAAAGGAGAGTTGTTAGGGGGAGGGACTAATTTTTGTCTCCAGTGATCTCTCTGTTTAATGCCAAAGACTACTATGAATAAATAGTTGAAATAGAAGTTTTTAGACTGGAAACAAAGATGTTTAAAAGGTACACATACCCTTTCTCTTTGTTTTTTAAATATTAATCATTTATTTGTTTAAGTAAATATATTTTGTTCCCTGTTCCACAGTCCTCTACAAGTAACAGGCAACCAAACTGTAACTTCTTTTAAATTTTCTGAAGTTCTCTTAAAGAGGGTGATGCCTCAAGTATATAGTCCTGTGCATGGTGTATGCTGTGTCATAATCTGCTCATGGCAAGTCAGGCCTCCACAGCATCCCTTCTGGTTTCACTGCCCTGGCTTGTCTCCGTCCGCTCCCCATAGTCAAGTGAAGAAGGGCTTGAACTAGGGCAGAACAGGAACATGAGGCTCTTTGGCCATTTTTTTCCTGAGTGGAACCTTCATAATTGGTTTGGCTCGTTGGTTATAACTGTTACCGTTTTCCTAATATCTAACAAACTTCAAATCCAATTACAAAATAGTATTCTAAAACACCTTATCCTTTTCATTACCATATGTTTTCAAGTTGGCATTTCCTATGAAAATGTTGACTCTTACAATGCATAATTTATAGCAAATGTGTACCACTGGTTGTATACAAAATGATTTTAGTTGGAGCACAGGAAAAAATTTGTATTTAAAAGTATTTGAATGTATCTTAGAAAAACTTTAACAGCACATCAGAGCCATGATTTGATATATAGTATTCTTACAAGAAGTCTAACTAAAAATACTAATTTGGTTTAAATAAAAATTAACTAAATGATAGTGCTAGTAGCCCTTAAATTTGCAAACAATCCCAGAAGTGAGGTTTGAATGATTAAACCTTGCAAAACATCTGTTTACAGTAATTCTTTTTGCATAAAAAAGAAGTAATATTTATCTGTTTGTTTTGGTTTTGTTTTCACGATTTTAGTAAATTCTTCCCTCTACTCTTTTTTAACGGGTAGCAAATAGATTGCCATACAACCTCTGTCTCAGCTTTGGAGTTTTCTTCGGATTTTACCCTGAAAATTACAAAGACATCCATGTGCACGGTAAGCTATTTCATTCTACTCTCACAAATTTCACTAGCAGTACAGTTGATTGGCAGGCTAATGAATTAATTACCAGACTTGTGATAAATGGAAAAGACTATTGCCTTTGACAGTCTATCTTTGCCTTTGTTAGGCTATTGAACAGATCTGTTTTGATAGGTCAGTAGACTTCAAAAAAGTTAGTTTAGTTCAGAGGAGAAAGTCATGTTTGCATAATGATTTTTTTTATAGACTCTTCTTTATTGGCTCTCATGTAACTAATTGAGAACACGCATCTTTATCTTCATAGACAGAAGTTCATGTCACACAACTCTTAATAACTCTTAACACTCAATGTAGATGGAAGTAAAATACGTTTATTTGGTATAATATTTTATATTCCTGTGTGAGACATAATAAACTGATGATTTACCTTTCCTTAAAGAAGCATCATGGTGTAACAGAACAAGTATGGGCATAAGAAAAGTTAGACAAATATGGATGCACATTTGGTTCTGCCACTCACTAGTTTGTTACTTTATTTAAATTACCTAAGTAATCTATACCTCAGACTAATCAACTGCTTTAAGAAAAATGGTAATAATTTCTATCTTAAAAACTAATTAAACAGATTAATGAGTTAATATATGTAGAAGCACCTAAAAAGCAGCCAGAAGGGTTATTAAAATATATAAATATTTTTCTTAAATAATTTGTAAATGTATATTAATACTAAGATAACAGTATTTGTTTTTTCCAGGAGACTCAGAATATTAATAAAATGTGGGCCTTTACTTAAAAAAGTATGAATTCACATAGGCAATATTGATATATTATTTAAAAAATTGTATAGGTTTTGAAATATTAATCATACCTATACAAAATTAAAATTTTGGGGGCGCCTGTGGGTCTTAGTCAGTTAAGCATCCAACTTCAGCTCAGATCATGACCTCACGGCTTGTGAGTTCGAGCCCCACATTGGGCTCTCTGCTGTCAGTGCAGAGCCTGCTTTGGATCCTCTGTCTCCCTCTTTCTCTGCCACCCCCCCACTCGTTCTCTGTCTGTCAAAACAAAAATTCACTGAAAACTGTATAGTTAGGAACTGTGTGAAACAGATTATAGTTATGTTAACTTTGAGTCTTAAACTTGATTTTTTGAACCATTGACACATAAAATATTTTATGGCTTTTTAAAAATTGTCCCAGTTTATTTTGATCCAATAATTATTTTACATCCAAATGAGTTTAACAGTGTGCTTTGATGTTTTGAGGAATTCTTTTTGTTAAAGTTGGTTTTACAATTTTAAAAGGTAAATATCTAGATTACAGATTTATGATTTGGGGGCAATCATTATGTTCATTTAACTGATAAAAACAAAATTTCATTCTTCTCATTCATTTCTCTCAGATTTTCTAATTGTCCGTTTTAGTAACTAAAATGATTTGGTCAATTGACATTATAGGCTAAAGGCTTTAACTCTTAGATTTACCCTGTGTTTTGATGTTAGTGATCCGTGAGAGTTAAAAAAAAAAAAAAAAAAAGACCTCTAGATTAATGACATTTGATCTATCTGTAAAGGAATTCTTAGATAGAAAATGCCATATTACCAATATTATTAAATAATATTATTTCAAATCTACTTTCAGTGTCCTTTGCATGAATCAAAGTAGAACAAATGTAAAACTGTAGTGAAGACCTCAAAAGCTGTTTTCAGTTGTGCATATTTTTTAACATTATGTAGACAGATGAGTTTATTGAGTTTTTTAAAATGTTGTCTATTTTTTGGGTTATTGGTCAGTGTTCTTAGTTTCAGACAACAAAGTCCAAATCACTCGTTAAAGCAGAAGGGGATTTACTAAAGAGTCAAATAACATCATTCCCAGACACATTGGAAGAGGTAAAGGAATAGACTGTGTTTTGAACTTCTAGAAAATACTCTTTTTTTATGTTTATTTATTTATTTTGAGAGACAGAGAGAGAGAGCGCGAGCACATGCACAAGCAGGGCAAGAGAGGGAGATCTTGCAAATCCTAGGTAGGCTCCAGAGCAGGGCTCGTTACAGGGGCTGGAACTCCTGAACCACTGTAAGATCATGACCTGAGCCAAAACCAAGAGCCAGATGCTTAACCGACTGAGCCACCCAGGTGCCTCAGTAGAAAATACTCTGAAACCACATCTGAGAATTAGCCTGCTACAAAGCTGCCCCCGCCACTTCAGGCCCTGTAAGTCCTAGTGCCCCTGGCCCACTCAGTAAGTGGTAGCCACCACTGTCAATCCCAGGTGAATAAAACTCTTCACTATCATCCTGTTCCTGTGCCCCCGGCCCAGCTCATGCTGTCCAGTTCCTCCTTACAGATCTTCAGTCAACATATCTGTTTGGCTACACATAGGTCATGTTGTACCCTAGCAATTAAAAAGCCTTAGAAAGTAGTTTTAGCTGCAGTAGTGTTAATGCTACAGAAAGAGTTTCACAATGCATATATAGAATTATTTTCTATTCCTATTATTTGCCATAGAGTACAAGAAACTTTATGTTGAAAGAACTTATATGTATCTGTTAATTATCTTTGTTTTATTCCGTATATTTAAAAGAGTAAAATAGAAATAAAACATGAAAAAAAGCTGGTAAAGTCTGTTTAACACAAAGATTGTAATCAAAACTTTTGTATTAAGGAATATATCAAATAAGTATTTGCTGCATTTGTTCCTGTACAGTGTTCCATAAGAAAAATGAATAAAAAATAAACTGTTCTCTTATATCTGTAAAGAACCTTTTAGATTTATATTTTTATTTCCAACTTGCCTGAATGATTTTAATGTAAAAGTCTGGAAATGAGAAAGTGGCAGAAGATTGGAGTGGACTTGTATATGTCTGATCACTGCTGAAAACATAGTCTGTAATTCACCTTGAGAGGAATGTATAGTTTCAAATGATATGTATTAGATGCATGCCAGGTACCAAACATATAAATTCTAGTACTTACTCAGTGTTAACCCTGCTGAGATTATTCTGTCAATAATTAGTCAATATAAACTGTCTTGGTGATAATGTCTAAGTCCTTGAACACTCGCATGTCAGGCAATGTGCTAATCACTTTAAAAACATTATTTCATTTGGTCTTCTTCATAACCATTTGAGGTGGGTACTTATATTCCTATTTTATGGATGGAGAAAAATAAATCACTATGTTTTGCTTTTGAAATATCTTGACCCCAGAAGACCACCTTGGTGGGATTGTACAAACTATTAAAGAACATAAAGAAACTTAGGAATGAGATATTCCACATGTAGAAGCATTCCAGGTAGCATGTTGCATTTCAAACAGATCTGTAAAATCTACACCGTGTTGCATATAAAACAGATATGAAAAATGTGATTCTCAGCCTGTAGTCTAGCAGTTCTTGGAAGGGAGAGAGAAGGAGAGTGTGATCAGAATGCACTCTTCCTCAGAGATAGGGCTGACAGATTTATATGATAAAATAAGTCACATATCCCATCGTCCTCTTTGCTGCAGAGAAAAAGTAGATCTTTGGAAATTTTTTCTTCACTCTTTCATAGTAAATGTATCGTTATTTGGTCAAGCATCTACATGTCTTGGGAACTTTCCTTCCTTCCCAGCATGCTTATCCTAACAGGAGCCTGGCACGAGTAAGGTTTTGTGGCCTTTGGTGCCTTTATTACGTTTTCATTATTTGTAGAGTCCCAACTATCCATCCATATCTACTCCAACTATCTTCTGCTCTTTGAGGTGGTGCCAGCTCCTTGTACTCTTTTGCTACCAACCATCTGGAGCTATTATGCAAGCTTAGTCTCTAAGGCTACTTTTGAATAGATAGATTATTCCCCTGGTTACTTGGGAATAATCCATAACAAAGGTATTAAAAAGGATGCGTGCCTAATTGGAACTTTGTTTCTCCTTTATATTATAACAAGAGTTAGTGAAAATACTAAAGAAAAGCGATGCCTGGCAAAAAAGATGGAAAGAGTTACTTTGGGGAGGGAAGAGGTGTGGCTTTTTTAGATAGAATGAAGAAAAATTTATCTGGTTTTATACTGCTAAGTACAAACCTTCAAACGTAATACATACTTCTTTTCTTGGGCTTAAAACTTGAATGCATAGCCAGAAAGTAAGATGGATGATCTCTCCGAGTAGTTAAGCCCATTTTAAATAAATGCATAACCATGTATTTCTAATGAGATTCCAAAATTGTAGCCTAATTAAAATATTAGAGGAAATTGGATTTTTCAAACTAACAAGATGCTAAGAACACCCCCTTTGCATTTAATTTCAAAAGCATGTGTGCTGTAGACTGATAGTGTTTTTAGATGGCTTTCTCAAGTTTCTTAGAACCCTTAATAGAAAACATCTTTTCTTTGTGGTCTTCACCACCAACACACACAGGCACATACACATACCACAGAAGAAATTTGATAGCAGTTTTATTGTAGTGTTTTGCATTAACAAACCGGTTTTTGTGTTTTGGGGGGAATTTAACATGATATGATATTCATACGTAAATGTCTTGGGTCTTGGTTACAGGATAATTTTCCACTGAATACTAGTAGCACATACATAGCAATTTTCTGAGCATTTTTTATGTATCATGATATTATTGACAGTTTAGGCCACATTGCCTTTGCTTTTATGATGGGATATAAACTTTAGTTAGCAACTGACTTTCTATCATAGCAGCCTGCCTAACCTTGTAGTAAATAAACAATAAGGCCCATAATTTTATGGAAAGTTTGTAAGTGTTCAAAAGCAAATGGTTTAAAGCCATACAATTTAGAACTAATATGGTTTATGTTGTGAGTTCTAGTTTATTTTCAATGTCTTTTTTGTAATTGTGTAATATTCTCTCCCTTGTATCCCAGCAGCATTTATATTGGCATCTGTCTTTATAAGCTCCTTAAAGTTACAGCCAAGCATCCTTTTTCATAACCCTAGTATACATTAAATGACTTTTCATCTTGCCTTTTGTATACAAATGACTTGTTTACTTTAAAAATGAAAACTTTA